TGCATACAAACATACATACAAACATACTACAACATACATACAAAACATATATATCTAAAAACATACAGATACATGCAGACTAGCAAGCTGTGCGTACATCCATCCATCCATCCATCCATCCATCCATCCATCCATTCATTCATCCAAACCTACATACAAACATACGTACAAACACGTATATACACACACACATATATATATATATATACAATACATACATACATATATACATATATTTTTACAAAATTCTATAAAAAATTATGGTCTTTTTCCAACATATACATATATACATACATGCATACATACATGCATACATACATACATACATACATACATACATACATACATACATACATACATACATACATACATACATACAGACAGACGTAAAAAGCCTGTATAACTATTGCCAGGTCGCATCGTACATCGTATCAAAATAATATGCAAATGAGATGCTCCGCGTTATGTGCGCGCCTGTTTTGATGCTTGCTTGCTAGCTGCTAGCTGCTGAAGCCGCTGCTGCTGCTGATGAAAATGTAAACAAAACAAAAATAAAAAAAACAATAACAAAAAAAGACAAAAAAAAAACAATGAAAATAAAGAAAAAACATATCAATGTTCTTGGTATGTCGGCAAGCAACTCATTTTGCAATGTTGTTGTTGTTGTTGTTTTTTTGGAGGGAAATCCCAATTTTTCTAGGTTAAAAACAAAAACACACCCTAAAAACATTGCGCTAAAAAAACTTTTAAACAAAAATAAATAACAAAAAATTAACCTAACAGACATTTTTATTTAACATGCATTGAACAAAAAAACAATTTTTTAATTTTATCAGCGGAGACAAGCTCCAATCAGCGGTTATTCAGAATTAATTTGCGTCATCGTCGTCGCCATCAGCGCGGCCACCAGAGCCACCAACGCTGCTGCTATCATCGCCATTAACGCTGCTACAATCGCCACTAGCATCGTGACACCACCACCACCATCATATATAAAATACATGCACAATTATTTTATAAAATACAATCGACATATATCGTCATCATCATCGTCGTCGTCATGACTGACCTCCATCTCCGAGCAGATCCATTTGAACGTGACTCGGATGTACGCGATGCTCTTCCAGCACCGTATCGTCAAGGATGACCAGAGTCTGGCGATGATGGTGGTGATGATAATGATTCATTCATTCATTCACTCATTCATTCATTCATTCACTCACTCATTCATTCATTCATTTTTCATTCATTCATGTAACAAACCTCAGAGTCATTCATGACTTTCTTGACGACGGCTGTGAACCATCGAGTGGTGCCCTCCACCCTGTAGACCTGCACCCTGTAGCCAACCACCAAGTAGGGTGAATTGGTCAGGAGGTGTGCCGCTTTGTGACGCTGGAGCCGGGTTCGAATCTGCTCTAAGCCAGTTCTTTTTATGATGATGTTTGGTTGGTTGTTCAATTTTTTTATGTGGAGATTATTCTTCTCACAGTTGTCGTCGTTATCATTGTTGTTGTTGATGTTGTTGTTGATGTTGTTGTTGATGTTGTTGTTGCTGTTGTTGATGTTGTTGTTTGGCTGAGGGTAGATAGGATTAGATTGCTGCAAGGGCGTTGTTGGCGGTGATAGTAATGATGAAAGAGAATGCAGTAGTGATGATGATGATGATGATGGTGGTGGTGGTGGGAATGATGATGATGACGACGACGACGATGGTATAATCTCCATAGGACTTTTCAGATCCGATTCCTATTTTGGAAAAAATGTTACGATGGATTTCGTTGTTGTTGATGTTGTTGTTGTTGATGTTGTTGCTGTTGATGTTGTTGTTTTTGATGTTGTTGTTGTTGTTGTTGTTGATTTCGTCGTCGTTGTTGATTTCGTCGTCGTTGTTGTTGTTGTTGTTGTTGTTGTTGATGTTGGTACTATCATCATTATCATCCTCATCATTATTATTATTTGCATAATAATAATAATAATAAAAATAACAATAATAACAATAATAATAATAACGACGATGATGATGATGACGCAATACCTAACCTTGAATGGAATAACAACACATGGAAACACGCAGCACCTATCATCACAGAAGCAAGAGTCTGCAGTCTCAATATTATTATTATTATTATTATTATTATTATTATTATTAGTAGTAGTAGTAGTAGTAGTAGTAGTAGTAGTAGTAGTAGTAGTGGTGGTGGTGGTAGTAGTGGTAGTGGTGGTGGTAGCAGCAGCAGCAGCAGTAGTAGTAGTGGTGGTGAAAGTACAGCTACACATTTTACTGTTGTTAGTATTTATGAATAGCAGTTTGGAACCATCCATTAGTTCAACTGCCTGCCCGAGTTGGATGTTACTTGGGGCTAGTACTGGCTTCATTGTCTGAAATTATTCATATTATTATTTGTAAATAGGTATAATAATAATAATAATTATTATTATTATTGTTGCTGTTGTTGTTGTTGCTGTTGTTGTTTATGAAATGAGGATGAATGAACGAATGAATAAATGAATGATTGAATAAATAAATAAATAATGAATGAATGAATGAAAAGATGAACGAATGAATGAATTAATGAATGAATGAATGAATGAACGAACGAACGAACGAACGAATGAATAAACGAATAACGGTAAAAAATAATCTGGACAGCTTCTTCATTTCAACATGTAAACTAACGAAGGCAGGTGTGTAGGTCAGAATCCTTGAAGAATGATGATGATGATAATGATGTTTATTATTATTATTATTATTATTATTATTATTATTATTATTATTATTATTATTATTATCGTCGCCATCATTCATTTCCGTCAGAGGGTGTAGCAGTGAATCACTATTGTCATTGTCATCACATCCGTTATCAAACTTATTATTTTTTTTATTGATATAGGTGTTATTATTGTTGTTGTTGTTGTTGTTGTTGTTGTTGTTGTGGTTGTGGTTGTTTACACCAAGATAGCCATCTAGTACCCAAACGATTCGGTCCTCCAATAGCAAGACGATGATGTCATCGCGGGTCGTCAGCCATTTCCTCTTCTGCCAACATTTCCCATCGAATTCTACCAGAATCTGATTGGCCATTATTATTATTATTATTATTATTATTATTATTATTATTATTATTATTATTGTTGGTGTTGTTGTTGGTGGTGGTGGTGGTGGTGGTGGAGGTGGTTGTGGTGGTTGTGGTGGTGGTGGAAGCCGCGGCAGTGACATCATTTACGTTTTGTATTTATTTATTTATTTATTCATGTAGACAGCTTATTGGAGTTGTGGCTATTAATATTATTATGACTGTGACTGTGATTGGTTATCATTTTTCGATGAAAATAATAATAATAATAATAATAATAATTAAATAATAATAATAAAATTATTTTGGTTATAATTAATTTTCTCATGGCGGGCATGTTTGTCATTAAAACTTGAATGATGGTGCCTTGCGTGCCATTGTAAACACTGTAACATGCACTGCTATGGATTTGTAATATTATACTTACACACACAAACACAAACATACAAACTTGTATGCATACAAACATGCATACATACAAGCAAACATGCATACATACAAACAAACATGCATACATACAAACAGACATGAATACATGCATACATACATACATACATACATTCAATGCTACTGTCTAGTTTACAAACACTAAATAAAGAAAATTGAATAAGAAAATTGAATAAAAAATGAATGAAATAAAAGATGAAAAAGAAAGAGAGAGAGAGAGAGAAAGAGAGAGAGAGGGAAAAAAAAGAGAGAGGGAGAGAGTGTAGCAACATTTCTGCATGTTCATCCTTACAAAGATAACCATCCTCTTTGCGTCGCTATCATCATCATCAACATTTCAATAATTATTTTCGTAATCATCATCACTACCACCCCTACTATAATCATCACTGTGGCTATCATCATCATCACCCCTGTGACTATCATCATCATCATCATCATCATCATCATCATCATCATCATCATCATCACCACCACTGTGACTATCATCATCATCATCATCATCACAAATTAGTTTAATCATCATCATCATCATATTATTATTATTAATATTATTTTTTTTTCCCCTCAACACAGCCGAGCAAACAAGACCTCAAAAAGAATTTGTGAAGACAAGAACATCAACAACAACAATAATAATAATAATAACTACAGTTATAATAGCAGTAAACTTAAGAACAATTTCAAAACCATCATCTATTGCTATTATCTATGTCTATGGCTATCAGCAAATTAGCACACATAAATATTGTACATTTATATATATATATGTACATATATATACACACACATACATATATAAATGTATATATATATATATATATATGTATGTATGCATATGTATGTAAGCATAACCTTAATCGTGATTGGGTCTTGTTTTCAACCAATCAAAGTTGATGTAAACAATAACATCATTTACTCACTAATATAAAACGCCATTAAGTGCTTATTACTATTACATATGTGTTGTATGTATGTATGTATGTATGTATGTATGTATGTATGTATGTATGTATGTATGTATGTATGTATGTATGTATGTATGTATGTATGTATGTATGTATTTATAACTATAATGATAGTGTTATTATTATTCTTGTTATTATCGCTACCTAGATTTTTCTTATTGAATTTTTAATATTAGTCTCGACGAGCTCTGTGTTATTGTTGTTGTTGTTGATGTTGTCGTTGTTGTTGATGTTGTCGTTGTTGTTGATGTTGTTGATGTTGCTATTGTTGTTGTTATTATTATCACTGTTTGTGTTGTTTTTACTTAAGTTTGGTTTTTTAATATTATCATTGTCATTCGGGATATTGAACATTATAAAGCCACTGAAAAACTGAAATTTAAATCCAATGTCTGAAATTTAGAGCAATCATCACACACACATACACACACACACGCGCGCGCGCGTACACACATACAGAAAAAGAGAGAGAGAGAGAAATTAGGACGATGCGATGATAAAAATGATGATGTTGTAAGAATGAGAATGAAATATTTAAAATAATTACAACGTCATTCATTATTCATTCGTTCATTCATTCATTCATTTATTTGCCAATTCATTCATTTATTCATTTGTGAACTGGACGAGTGAATGATTGAAAGGGTATATAGAGAATTAATGGAGTGAATAATTAATTATACGTTGAATTTTGGATGAGTGAGTTTGTGAATGATCGATCGAACGGACGAAAGAATAAATGAATGAAATACAGATAGAATGAATGAAAGACTAAATAAAAGAATAAAGGAATGAATAACTGGATGAACGAATGAAAGAAATAACACGTCCAATAGAATAGAATAGATGCTTTAATAATTAAACAACAATGGATCCTAAGATAAAATTTAGGTTAATGAATAGTTAATTAAAAAGCAACTACAACAGCAACAACAACAACAATAACAACAACAACAATACTACTAATAATAGTAATAATAACAATAAAAACAACAACAAAATTAATAACCTGATGGGAATTCTCTTCAATATTTTTCGAGGTCGTTGCTCTGATCGTACCTTGTTTCCACGGCAACTCCGCCATCTTTTTTTTCGTAATTCTACAAACCATTTCCTCCTCCGGTTTATCAACATCATCATTACCATCATCC